TATTAGTTATTGTATTATATTATAATTATATTATCTTCTCATACCATTCAAGCCGTCTCCAAGCATTATTAATGGTAGGTAACAACCCCCCCCAAACACACACACAAAATCATTAATAAATACAAAATAAATTTTGCACTTCGAACCCTGCATGAATATGCAGAGTTAACATATCTGGGTAACATACAACTACAAGAAGATTTACCCTGTGCAGTATGTTCAACACTTTCCAGTCCGGTCCCACTTTAGCTTGGTTTTTCTGGGCTATCTGACTTACAGCACTGTAGATGGCAGCACCATCAGGCCGTTGAAACATAATGCTTCCAAGAACCACAATTGGTTTCTTGGCTGCAGCAAGAGCCTATTAAAATATAATGAAAAAGTGGATTCAGATTTATTTAGTGCTCTTTCTCTCTCTTCCAATTTCCTAGTTTCATTCTTATCTTAGTACTTCCAAAACATTACACTTGTTGTTATAATTTTCTACACATAAGAAGGATAGTAATAAACAAAAACATGACAGAAACAACAAACAATATTAGATTTATTCTTCTATTAGGAACTTGTAACCTAATTTTCACGCATTATTTTATAACAATTTCCTATACCAAATATTAAAAACTATGTTTAACATAAAATGTACATAATATATAGTAGTGTTTAAAATAAAATGTGCATATCTATGGTAGTGTTTAACATAAAATGTACATATCTTTGGTAATGTTTAATGTAAAATGTACATTTCTATGGTAATGTTTAATGTAAAATGTACATTTCTATGGTAATGTTTAACATAAAATATACATATTTATGGTAGTGTTTAACATAAAATATACATATTTATGGTAGTGTTTAACATAAAATATACATTTCTATGGTAATGTTTAACATAAAATATACATATTTATGGTAGTGTTTAACATAAAATGTGCATATCTATGGTCGTGTTTAACATAAAATGTGCATATCTATGGTAGTGTTTAACATAAAATGTGCATATTTATGGTAGTGTTTAACAAAATGTGCATATCTATGGTAGTGTTTAACATAAAATGTGCATATCTATGATCGTGTTTAACATAAAATGTGCATATCTATGGTAGTGTTTAACAAAATGTGCATATCTGTGGTAGTGTTTTTGGTATTAAATCACGTATGTAACTTTAAATGTATTTCAAAACGGTTAATGTTAATTTTAACAAACTGTATAATGTCTTCATTCTGACACTTGTAATTGGAAAAACTATTACCTCAACACAAAAAATATTATATTTTATAAGACCTACATTTATAAAAGTAGTTAACTTTTTTTAAAAGCTCACTTTGCTAAAAGGATGTTTGCCTTCAGCAATATCTTTCAGGACAGTGGGTGAATCTCCAAGATGCTGGAAAAGTACAGAAAGATTAAATAACTAGAAGTATTAAAATTTTTTTTTTTATAAATTACACTACAAATTGTTTCAAACAGTAGCTTGAATGTTCATGATCTTAACTAATGGAAAAATGGTGTCATTTTGTTTTTTAATTTCAAATGTTTCTGTGCAAAATGAATAATGCGTCTCAGGTCTCACTTCAGTTTGTCTTAATTAAAATAGTAGAACCTTCGCCATAGACATGCATGGCATTTATACGTTATCAAAACGTCTTTTTGCCAAATTACTCATATTTTCCTTATCCAACATTCTATAGATTTATTCACTGAAACTGGAAAACGTGATAACTTCCAGCCTACGTGAATATTACTAAATAAAGCAATGTACTGTAATATAATTTACAATTGTTTTATTCTGAAAATTTTGAACTGGATACATGGATTCTTTGGGACCTTTGTTTTCTGCATTTCATATTTCTGCTCCTTCAAACCTTTCTTCTCTGAGGTTCATGTTTATGTTATTCATAACTGAAGCTCTAAACTAGTAGCCTTTTTATAAAATAAATTTCTGTTGGATTGCATTTTTTGCACAACCTGTGGAATTTTTCCTTTTTTTATTACATGTACTAATAAAATACATAAAGACATACAAAGATGGAATTTGGTCAGCTGTAATATGCTTTCTTCCTTACTAATAGACAGACATTACCTCATACTCATATGTAAGATCAAGTTTAGGTCCAACTAAGGCAACTTTAAGTTCATTATGAACCCAACATTTCCTGATACGAGCATTGAAGAGTGCCGCTTCAAGCCGAGGGTTAGTACCAATCAGAAGCAACAGATCAGCATCTTCTACACCTGCGATCTTGGTGTTGAAAAGGTAGCCAGATCGAAGATCAGTCCTATAAATGGTAGATAGCATTTAGTCTCTAAATAAAACAGTCACAGTTTATAAAAACGGACTCCAGCAAAATGTATTACAACACAAAGGAGTTAAAATATGTAACATTTCCAATTATTTTTTTTACCAATTTTCAACACAACTTCATTTCATGTACATGAACAAGGTTTAGAAATAAATGTTTAAAATTCAAAAAATGATTTAAGAAAACATTTAAAATTTTACAAGACATGAAAAAACTAATTAGTATGTTTACTTTTACAATCTTAAAGAAGAAAGCTACAAAAACCAATATGAAGTTTCTGATTAGCTAGCATCATAGTCAGATTTCTAATTGGTTTATGACCAGCTTGCACTGTAGCACTAATCTCATGATTGGTTTGTGAATACTTAGCACTAGAAAACATTATGTTATTGGTTTGTGACTACAATTGTAAAAACAGATTACTGTTTGGCTTCAAATTAACTTGGACACTTTAATTTTTTTATACTAGCCCTGATGAAGCCACAATGGTGGAAAGTTGGCTGAAATAAAAAGTATTTTTCTTATTATTATCTGGAGAATAAGGGTTGTTGTTTTTTTCTAACTTTATTGCCAACTGATAACTATACTTACAAACTCACATTAAACTTTGTCTCCTTCCTTCTTGACATATGCAGAAGTGAAACACTAAACAACATAGTTAAGTTACTATAATTAGCAAAGAAAAGCTTTGCAACTCACTGAACTCACCCTGAGCCATCCATTGGAAAGATCTCTTCTGTACACAGTCCTTCACTTCCTAATCTATTAAGCAAGTCTTTCAAAGCTACCAGAGCCTGTTTGAATTTGTATAAACAGACATGTCTTTGTGTTTCTTTCAAGGAACAATAACACAATCTTCAACACTATTTTCATGGATTGATAAAGCAAAATGTATTTTTTATTTCATATCATTATACCTCTCACCAGGTCAACCTGCCATCATCTGGTGACTTAATCAAATTATTAAAACAAATCTATCTACAATTAAGAAAGCATGTACACTTAATAATGCCTTAAAGTATACTGTTACACTGAAAAAAAAATATTTATGTAAGTATTGTTGTTTGTTGTTAAGTGCAAAGCTACACAGTGGGCAACCTATGTTCTGCCCACTGCTAGTATCAAAACCCAGTTTTTAGTGTTATAAGCCCTCCGACTTACTTCTGAGCCACCAAAGGTATGTTGTCATTTGTTATAATTGTTTGATATATCACTTTTGATTCTCACCAGCTTTTCTTCAGTAAATAAAAAAAACAGATTTGAAAATTATTTACAACAGAGTGCTGTCTAATTTCAAAGTCAACAATACAATTTCTTGTTCTCTGCCTACATTCATCAGAAAACAATATCAAATTCAGTAATGTAAACTTACCTTTATTTAGTGAATTTAATACTTTCTAAACATATCTTAAATACAGTTCATTTGAAATAAAAAGACTATTAATATTTCTTCCTTTTTTAAATTAAATACTTAAGCAAAATGTTAAGAAATTATACAAAACACACAGGTTAACTATAAACATTGGCTTTTTTCACAATATAAAAAGAACTAGTGTCAGGAAATTACATGTTGCTTTTATTCAGGAGAATGATTTTTCCAATGTTTTTATGATATTCTCCACGGTTAATAAAAAAAAAGGGCAAAAAAAGTTTCAGAAACACTAATTTCTCATCAAAAGTTTTGAGAGATTGTTTTTAATAATACTGGTTTTTGTCTGGTAAATCAGTGTTATATTTTGAAAAATACAAAGCACTAATATTTTCAACAAGTTTCCTTATTCATGTATTCTTTTTCGGTGTTATTGAAATATTTCGAGCAGTTTCATTGCATTTTAAAGGATGCATTTCGATACTCCATCCAAATACAACATTATATACTTCGATACATTGGTTTAAAGCTACTCATATAGCTTTCATTTGTTACACTTGCAGTCACAGGATGGCTAAGTCATAAAACACAGAAGCACATGTTGAACAAGTAACTTTGTTAAAACTAACACTCTTGAATAGGACTTTTGGTAATTAATATATTAAATCTTTCAGGTAATAGCTTCTAGAGTCAACTCTTTTTTTTTGATGAAATTTACAAAAGAACATACTGAGTCAGTTGAAATTGATAAAATGTTATTATACTTTCTAAGCATTCACCATTTCATAGCCGTCCACTTAACTGTAAATTGACTTGCGTCTAGCCTTTTTGAATAAACAATCCTTGTCTTAAATTTAGAATATTTCTGAAATATTTGTTCTGATAAAAGTGTTACCACACAGGATCATACACAAAAGGAGCAATGAATTTTAAAATAACACCCAAAACCGGAGTGTTTTCGGATAGTTGACCGTTCTTCTTAATGAGTGCAATGTAATGTATAGGTACAGATGTCAACATCACATAAGCCAAATATTCCAGATGAGTTGATTTTGAGACTAGCCAATCATAACTGGAGACGTTGATGTCAGGTTTAGTTTGTAACAAAGAAATGTGTACATTAAATGCAAAACGTCAGAGTAATAACAGTTAAAAAGATGTTAAAATAGTTTTCTTAGAATAGAAAAATAAAACAGAAACCAAAATGGCATGGGAATAAGAGAAAATGATAATGTAAAGCAATATATAGGAAATATAAACATCAATACAAATTTGGATAATACTAATAGAAAAACAATAAATTTAATTACAAATTTGGTTTTGGAATCTTTTTTAAAGGTGTGCAAAGGTCAACATTCCTGGGATCGAGATTTAAGTCATTTAGCATTACAGTATTTAACACTGCTATCCAGTAAGCTCCTTTAATTTCCCTGTTTCTGTTTGATATAAAATTTGTCTCTATTCAAAGGAGCTCAAGTTTTGGGTCTTTTTTTTTTAATTCTGAAATTGTTCTTAATGATCTTAATAACCCAAAACAAAAGATTGTACTGTTGAACTTATTACATGAAGTATTGTTGAAATTCACATAAAAACAGCTACCTTAAAAAATATAAAACAGCAAAGTATTTTTACCTCGCCATCTGCCATTCCCCCAGCTACTGCTGCCACCTGTTGGCCAGGAACTGACTGAAGCTGCAACATACAGAAATCATTATACAAAGTTTGATGATTTGGGATTTAAAGCTGAATACACATTTATAATCTAAGTAGTCTTACTTTATTTAATGTCTCATATGACATGTCTTCTGACCAAGAAATAAGAATCTAAATTACTTAACGTCTTTGCGTCTTTGATTTAAATAAACTCCACCCTATAATGAGCTTTAACCTTCAGGCAAAGCATAATTTTCATAGCCTTCATTCTTATATGATTACAGAATCAACAAATAGATAATCAGATCCCTCTTACCATGCCCTCCTGTCATAGCCTCTCTTTCAGAACTACCCAATAGTTCTCTCTAATGTTCAATACTATATTATTTATAACAAACAGAAAGCCAAGGTTTATATCTATTACATGACATATTATATAATGTTGTTTTCTTCACAGAGAATTGTCAATTTCCCTTTCAGTTCAACCCTTATTCCCACGGGAAACACATGGACTGGCTTAGATGAATTTGTAACGGCTCTTGTCCCATATTTAGAAAGCCAGAAAAATTGTAATAGTTACCGAAAATT